GTAATCTCGATATGTACATGCTAGATTTTTTAACCAATTAAGGTAGTCAATGAATCAATGATAACGGTGGAATAGATTACATAAATAATACTATTAGGTTAGAAGTACAACCTGATAGTGTGATGATAGTTGCACAATTGTGATAAAATCAACAAAGGCTTCAATTTACTACAGAACATCTAATTGGATATAATTTTGTCCGTTTATATATGTTAGGCTAGTGTTTTTCGTCCGAGAAATCGTTGTGCGTACTTATAGTAGACAGTTACATGCAAATCCAGACGTTTGAAACAAATCTTGATTGAAAATTTTTCTTATTAGTTCAATAATCACATACTGAGAGAAGGAAAGGTATATGAGTGCCTAAAGCCTTCTCTTGGTTGGACATTGAAATTTTGTATATAGCCTCTGGCCTTAATGGTGGGGTTTGAAATGTTAGACCTTGAGAACAACCTTCGGTACTGTGTACGAATAGGTCCCGCTTGGCACTTTGGAATTGTCACAAGGTGGGTTGTGACAGTTACTGGGTGCCAAACCGGTCAATTCGTTGGACGTCATAGCATCTACACACTAGCATTTTGTATACATCATGGTAAGCAATAATTGTTCAACTCCATCTCTCATTTTGGCTTGTCCATGGACTTACCGGTCTCTGGTTTTGACTTATTTGGTCTGCAATTATCTTGCATCTGATAACTCCTGCGACTAAGTTACTCTAATTTTCGTTACGTAGGTCAACATAATATAGCATTGATGTGATCAAATCACTGCCATTGGCCCCAAATGCCCCGGTACAGCTGAGAGTGAGGGAGAGTCCGCTCTCCCTCTTCAAAATGATCTCATATGGCCATGCGTATATGGCCTCTGCCAGGGAAGTCCTACTCACTGCCTCCTCGTGGCGGGGGTGTTGTTTACGAAAATGAGAGGACGAAAAGCGAATGTCCGGCCCTTTAACCGGATTCCAAACTAGTCTTCAGTAATAAGGATGATAAGTTGGTGAACCTGTGTTAATCCTGACAGATCGCCTTACAGTGAAGGTCCAGTTTCTCCTCGAAAGTATCCACTGATGTGGTTGATACCACTTGTTCTGGTAAGGGGTTCCAATCATTGACTACTCGATGAGAAAAACGGGATCCCACTTTAAGTTTATTAGATCGCGGTTTATGAACCTTCTTGCTATGACCTCGGAGATTATTAATGCTGGAGGGAGCAAAAAGACCAGACATATTAACACCCAAACCATAATTGAAGATACGAAATGCCAGTATAAGGTCACCTCGCGTCCTACGATACGACAAGGGGAATAGGTTTAGGCGTTTTAAATGCTCATTGTAAGGAATTCTGGATAGACCCTTCACTAATTTCGTTCCCACACACTGGACACGCTCAAGCGAGTTTGTATGCTTTACCAGATATGAGCTAGCTGCTTGGATACAGTACTCTAAATGTGGTCTTACGTAGGTGGGGTAGAAAATTCGAAACATTTCCTCGTTAAAAGATTTGAACGCACGGCGAAGTGACCATAACACATGAAAGCCTTTGACAGCGGCTGCGCTGCAATGTCCAGTTGTTTTTAAGTCATGACTTATTATTACTACTAAATCTCCATGCTCTTGAACACATGGAAGAGGTTTACCATCAATACTATTATGGTAACTATTACCGTGACCGATGTGCATTAGCACACTCTTCCCAGCATTGATTTATAAGCTCTACTCTCGAGCCCATCTAACTAAATTGTCTAAGTCAGCTTGAAGATCCAGATGATCAGCTTCACTTTTTATTGTTCTCCAGATTTTTACGTCATCCGCAAACAATAATGTCGACGACCTAAGCAACAGCGGTAACTCATTAACTTAGAGAAGGGAGAGCAGAGGGCCTAAGATGGTGCCTTGGGGTACACCACTTTTAACCGGCTTCCAGTTGGATAGCGTCCGATTGACTCTTACTCTCTGTCTGCGGTCACATAATAAGTTACCTATCCACTCCTGTACAGTACCTATTATTCCGAAGCTCGTGAGCTTCTGCATAAGACCTAATTGTGAAACCTTGTCAAATGCTTTGCTAAAATCTATGAATATCACATCGACAGACAGGCCTTTATCTAAGGCTGCTGTCCAATCGTCTCGCAATAAGTAAGTTAGTCAAGCATGAACGCTTGTCACGAAATCCATGTTGCTCAGGAGCTAATAGTTTGTGTGAATCTATGTGGCTTAGCAACCTAACCGGAATTATCTTTCCAAGCAACTTAACAACAATGCTAGTTAGACTGACAGGCCGGTAGTTAGATACGATCTGTCTCTGATTCATCTGGGGAAGCTGGAAAACCCTGATTCCAAACCAATGGTGCACATGGGCTCCAGTATCCTACGGGAACAAATGGCGTATGAACCAATCGTTGGTCACCGGCTACCATGGGACTGCATCTCCTTACGATGCTCCCACTGCCTTTTGGATCAGACCGACAGGTCGAGGAGTGGCCCTCTAAGAAAACCACCTGCTTCGGTTTGGGCACCCGGGCAGTATCACAGCCCTCAGACATATCAAATGAGACTTGTGTGGAACATACGTATTTGTTGCCTCCTTGTACCTATACCTATGTGTTAAAACAAATAACTGCCATCGATCTCGTGACTAGCTTGGTGAATCTGGGCGTTATTTGTTGTGCGATGAAGTAAGTCACAGTGTCTATGGATAGTTAACAATAATTTGGTATACATTTGTGAAGGGTGGAATAGTCTAGTAGTATCATTTTATTCCTAATGTTATTAGAGTTCATTCTTAAATAGAGATTCATGCTTCTGCTGAATACCTAAGCCTCTACTTTAATACGTGGATCGAAATCGCCGTTTATTTCGCAGACATTGTGTATAATACCACAGACAAGTTTCAGCCGTAACTCTTCGAGTTATCGAGTGGGATTCATGACTTCAATGCACGATTAAAGCCCCATCTGTCGACGCTTTCAAAAGAAAAGCCGGATCATTTGAGAGACCAACATCGCCCAGACTGACACAGATCACCTAGCCTACCGTCCTTTTCAAAATGAAACAGTCCCTGCCTACCATGACCCACACACGATTTACTAGGGGTAATTTTGGTGACCGCAATCTCTGAATTTCGGGAATACTGAAGCATTTGTGAGTTCTGATGGACAGCCAAGGATCGACCCATCAAAAGCTATTTCCCTTATATCCATACTGACATATTACTCACCATGAAGCTCTCCTGCTGCCCTGTTGTTTGTTACTTCTCATTATTTTGTAGTGCTTTTCTATCAGAATTGTTGAACAGACATGTGTTAGGTTACCTGTAATGTGAGGTAAACCATTCTGTGAAATTATTTTCACAGGTGTTTACGTTCCACTGAGGCGATGGAGTGTTATCTGAATCGTGGAGTAAAATTATCATCGTTATATAATCTTAAGTGTAGTGTGGAAAAGCAAGCCATAGATATACTCTTAGAGTTTTGCAGTTAATCTGGGTTTAGAAGTTACAAAGTAAGGCTGTGTCATTCTTACAAAGGATGAGGGCAAGTCTCCCTTTAGAAAACACATATACGCAGTTACCATGCAGTTCCCAAAACGTCATCGATGGCAAAGTTGAAGAAGAATGACAAGTCTGGAAACTGTCTCAACAAGGTTAGTATACAACGAACATCACACTTATTTATGATATTTGTTAAACTTGAAATATGCTTTGAAGATGAGCTAAAGAACAGTAAGTCACTAAAGCATTTAAAATATATATTACGAGGAACGCAACAGCCTACTAGTCTTCTACATCACTTAGACCATATGGCGACTTCTAAGTTTTTCTATGATTCTTGGATGCTTAGTTTTTATCTGGTATTTCTGAAACGCAACCTTGGTGCTACTTAATTTACTATGATCAACAGACAGTGAAACACATTCTCCTAGGAAATAAACGGTATCTAAGTCGAAATAATGTTATCCACACTATAATAAAACATAACATTAAGGATAGTTTGCATCTGGTTTATTGAGTTTTGACCATTTCTATTCTTCAGAGATTGCAGTAATCTGTTTACATGCTAGTAAAGATGGAAAAAGTAGTGAACTTAAATGGACCATATGTAACGATTGGAAGAAATTACTGATCTTTAAATTTGACTAATCCCGATTTTCTCCTCTTTCAGAAACAACATAAACACTACGAGGCTGACATTAGAGCAGTGACACAAAAATCGAGTGCAGTATATATGTCCAAAAGTTCCTAGACTGTAAAGCGATACCTCGGAACGGTCTTCAAAAATTGTGGAGTGATCTTCAAACTTATTACGTTTATTGCCTTAACATAACCAGGTTATTGATAGCTGATTATAATATGATCAATTTAAGTCAATGCATGCGTTTCAGAGAAAGGACCTCAGGTAGTATATCGGAGAAGATTGCGCGGGAAGTTTATGCTGACCACGGAAAAATTATGATATCACAAACTTCCAGCAAGACTCGCTATTCGACCTGGAGCTATCCGAATGACTGCTATACCTAGACAACTGGCAGTACGACATCCATCTAACGCAGATTATTTAATTGGTAGTACAACTTATACTTGATTACACCAAAGCTGCGATCCATAACCATGTAAGCGAAGATTACGATGTATCTCCTACGCTAGTTCCTTTTGACTTTGACAGGACCTTACAACCTAGCAGGATATAAGCAATGTTTCAGGACGAAACCAGCGCTAGGGAGTTTAAAAGCTGATACTACGACGTTCTAAAATAAGAGCACTTGGGACAAACAACTTTGGCCGATAGATGGACAATTTTTCATGAACAACAGACATCGGTAACTGGACATTTTAAGAAATGCTAACTCATCTAATGTACGTAAAAACACGAAGTAAGTTTGGAAATCTCAAGTATTACATTTAGCCTTCCACGGTATCATTCGAAAATCTATCGCTCAGAGGATAAAATATTAAGCGAGGTAAACATAATTTCTATAAATTGTGAGCAGAAGCATGTAAGGTGAGTAATCAAAGACATCATTGTTTCAGTGTCAGGATTTTTATGCTATTCGGGACTTGAAATCAAGACTACCTCCCGAACATCTAACCTCAAACTGATCAGCAAACTAGTGTGTGAAGATCCAATCCTATGTAAGCTAGTTATCAGAGCAAGTTAGCACATCGTTGCCGCAAGCCGTTTCAACATATCCGAACCACTGGCAGGAAGAAGCCTGGTGTTAGGAAAACAATATGAGGTCATTTGGTGGTGCTTTAACCGGCAATCCAAAATGGCCTAGAATGCTTGACAGAGTATGTTTGCTCATTGCCAACCTCCACACGCAATACTAGAGATTATACAAATCAATGCCTCAGGACATTATTAGGTATAGCTCAAAACAGAAACTTATCGCGATCTTGCAGCAGTTGTTTATTACGTTCTCCATAAGATATGGCTTGCAAAGTGAGAGAAATCTTCTGTGGCTATATTTTTTATTAAATTACTACTCTGGTGCGTGCTACTTATATTGATATAAGTAATATATAACGTGAGTTAAAAGAACGTAATATCTGGCAGCAGAAGATGGGGAAGATCAAGAACACAATGGGATTTGTAAGAAATCGCATGAACAATGAAATGTGATGTTTGCAACAGCAACAGTCCGGTTTTATATGATGGAATGATATTTTGCAAATTAACGATTTACTATAGGGTTTTTCTATTTTACCAAGTAACTCTGTAATTTGTGCTAAGTACAATTTGGTTGTCCTCATCTGTGTTCTCCTTCACTACACTACTAATTAACTACCACTTCCGTTAATTAGTTCACTATCATGCTTTTCACAATATCACCCCGATGTGCTCTATAAATAAAATCTGTTCATGGATACGCCAAATATTGGAAATCCAATAAAAGATTTACCGATTAATGTACGAGTTTAATGCACAGAAAACGCTATAACGCTTAGGAAAACAATGGTAACTATAGATATCACAGACGACGCCAGAGTTTTACGGAGCGAAGAGGTGAATCATTGGTCTGATGCTGAAAACAAATTTAAAAAAGTGGGACAAGTATAGTAAAATTAAGAAGCTTAATGTGATTAATAAGTTATATCAACAAATCATTCTTATATCTGGAACAGTATTCATTTTATTCTGGATTTTGATCTGATTTCAGTTAATGTTTCCGGGATTACAATATCACAACTCATTTTGACAAATGAAAAAATGTTTTGGTTGAAATATTTGGTATATTTAATTCCTGTAAAGACAAATGTAGATGGTGAAATGCACAACTAATTCTAATCAGTTACAAGCGTAGTCGTCAGGGTTAGGATATTGTGGCAAAACGCTAGTTGTGGAACCTTTTTGAGGATTCTGAACAAACAAGTTCTACTAAAGAAAGTAGCACATGCAATGAGGTTTACGAATTTCGAACTGTAAGATGCTCTACGGTAGATAACACCGTCAGAGATAGTGGAAAAGAAATTGTCTATAAGTTACAGGATTGAATAGGTCAAGGAGTTACTATCATTTAAGTCCCAAAATGGTTGAATGGAACACAAAACAACTGTACATCAATAAGGCTTAGTACTTCCAACGAATGAACAGAGTAAAAGCTTATCTTTAGTTATTCGCTAAAAGACTCAAAGGATTACCGATAATTTGTTTAGTAAGACTAACAAAGCAGTAAATTTGGTTACGATCAGCAGCTGATTTGTGTATTTAATCTGACAACGAAAAAGTCGATCTCTCTAGATCAACAGTACCGTTTTGGACTGACGCTAAATGATGAGGTCTCGAAAAACAGAACATACATGCATTAGAGCAATAAACAACAGGAAGCATAGCTTTCATACTTACCAAATACCATCATGCATCAAATCAAAAGCTTTATTGATATCTTTTAATTGAAAATGATGAGTGATAAATTGATCAACCTTGATCGTCCCTGATAAATAGTCTTCAACTAGTTTGGGCACTGAATCACGAGACTTCCAACCTAATATGAATGTTGATAAGCCAAATGAATGTGTGCATTAACAATCGAATATATATATATATATATATATATATATATATATATATATATATATATATATATATATATATATATATATATATATATATATATATATATATATATATGACAAAGTATTTGTTGCTGATATTTGCAAAAGCGAATAGTTTTATGATATTTAGAATTGACCATCATAATAAATAATCAACTGAATAAGAATTATAGTTTATTTAAACTGCAAAATCGTTGTCAAGTTAACAAATGTATACTAGCTGGTTGAGGTCTGAGTGATTATTGTAACCAATGATTAGAGACTGAGTGACAGAGCTCGAAAAACTTTGAAATAGGGCAGATGCATCCGTTCTTTGTCATCCCACAAATTCCGCATAATTTTTCTTCATTTTACTAATTTAAGTGTTCTTGAATTGTGTGTTTGATACTTGACCATTTCGACTTACCATTAATAATATCACTACCTCTCAAACTTTTGGATTTCCATTAACAATCATCTCGCTGTACAAATGGGGTATGGCAACTTGGACGGTTGTGCATACGTACCAGGTTCTACGTTGCGACTGCTTTCCTTGGTTAGTTAGAAGTAAGCTGCAAGAGTTGGCACCTGGAATACGTCGCATATAGCCAAGTGAAGACGGTAACAACAAAGATATTTAATAATTATCACTTCTTACTAACAGCTTAATTGATATTTCACCAAGAAACCTAATGCGACCTGCTCTTTGACAATAAGAAGACAAATACATTCGATGAGCTATTCGCATCGCTATACACCCCCTAAATTTCTTCAGCTTTTCAACAATTGCTAGCGAACATTAAGCAATATTCAGGTGTTTACGCATTTAGACGCGAACTTAATATAAAATGGACACCAAAAAACTCTTCAGTCATTGTATGTTAGTCAGTCCTATGAAAATCACATTAAGTCGGTTTGATAACAAAAAAGAGGCATCTTGCAAGATTTCACAAGGCAGTGATCATACTCTATTGCCCAGTTACCGCAACAATGGATAGTATTCTTTATAGAAATTTTTTATAGTGAATAGGCTTGATTCAGTGATTATCAAATGCGTTATTTATAACTATTAATGCCGTGCGTCTTTTGCCAATGAAAAATAAAGTTAGTCTCTACCATTTAGTATTGGTTTTTAATTGGTAATCCCAGTGTCCGGTTAGAAGTTATAATAATTTTGGGATAAAATTTTCCAACATCGATTTCGCTTGCTGAAAAGTAGGATTCCTACAATCATATCCATGTAAGGACTGACATCTATAAAAAGGCCTTTCTACATATTCGCTTTTAAGTTTTAGAGCTAATAAGATCCTAACTTTCGTAGAGCACCTAAGCTTTACTAGGTCAATAACATATAGTGTTGAATGAGTCCTACTGACCACATTGTTTGTAAGAAACGTCAGACCTAGGTGTCTGTAATGACAATCCTCAGAGAAAGCTAACATTAAGGTAATTTAGGTAAAGTTGACACGCAACACAGAACCTATAGGCTTTAATCAAACTAAGAACTAAATAAAAAAACCGGTTGCTGTTTAGTGGCCGATTATTAAGGCTTACCTATAAGGAAAGTGAAGATGGTGATGGTTTAATAACAGAGGTTCTTAGTTTTTAGGTATTTCTATCACACTCAAATTTAATCACGAAATAAAGCACTGTCGAGAACAAAAGGTTCACTGATTTAATCTTCTAGAAGTGCTTTAATCGATTCATTGTAACACCGAGGTTAGATGCATTATGATAACACTAGTTTTCTTAAAACGATAAGGGAAGTAACATTAGACTACGAACTAATAACTTATCTTGCGCTGTCTTAATATCGGTTATTGTTGGAATGACATATTTCCATTTTTTAAGGACTAAATGGATGAATAGATTTAGAAAGAGGAATCAAGTTATGTAAGAGCGAGACCTACGTAAATTATCTGCGTTACATATTAGGATTACTGATAAACAAACGAGATTTGGACTAATAAAATGAACGAATAAGACCCCGATCGATAAATGAAACGCAGTGAGATGTGGATAAGCGATGGCTCCCTAAATAAACAGACTCCGACCGTTGCTGCTACACTGACGTGGTGGTCAGGCTAGCCAATCGTGATGAACCAATTGAGCTACACTGGCTGGAACAATCGTTACTCAAAGTTCTACCGTGCCAGACAGGTCGGATGAAGAACGGTAAGATCAAAAGCAGCAAACCCGCTACCCGATAGAGAAGTAGTACTGTACAGAGGTATGATGGCAGTAAGGTGTCTCCTTCAGAGAACCAGCATAAAAGCAATGCTGCCTCCCCAAAAAGGGTGGGGTTAGAAAAGGTTCACCCTAGGAATACACACCTCGCTTTAATCCCGCGAATTTCCGTCTCTGGCGGTAAGGTCCCAACAAGTACGGAGCTAACATGTGTGTGACTGGTCTCAACAGTTGTCCCTTGGGTACTGCTGTTACGCTCTTAGGTCAGTAAAACCATCTTTAATCCAATTTCCCTGTAGGAAGCAATTTCCTACAGGCTTAATTCTGAGCTATTCCCTAGACCGTCGAATACAGAGTTTTGGTTTGGCCAAAGTCAGAACAAGCAAGCTATTTGGCTAGATAAACTTTATCTGTTTCTAAAACATAAATTAACATCGTTAGTGTACAAACAAACAGTACGGTCTATTAATAAAGGGAAAAACACAGACAAATAACATACCGAACAGTAGCCAGAGAATAGGAAAAATGAGTCAACAAGCAAATATTGTTTTACAATGAACATCAAACTGTGATTGGTTAACAAAGAGATACAGTTGTACAAGATCAAAAGGAGTTAATGTGGAGGTGGGCGTTTTCCTTTGTTATTGGTGGGTTCGTCTATCGATCACATTGTACATTCCCTATCAGGTACCTCGAGAAGAACCATTCCATGATGTGGGCAACCGCGAAGTGATAACCGCCCTCATACCATTAACAGTAGTCAAGACCACTGTATTCATAATCAACCTCCCTCTTCAATCCCTAGTATTCCTCCCACCTCGACTTTCAACCCTGAACTCCCTCTTTTGGCTTCCTACTCAAGTGTCACCATGACCAACGATTCTAGTACGCGAAATCCTGACTCAGGTCTACTGAAATTCTGCTCCAAACTACACATTGCAGCCATCGACGTCTGTACCGTATGTCAAATCGGTCAGCAGAACTCCTTACTAAGACACTAGAATCTTATACGATTGATGTATAATGTGTCTCTGAGACACGCATGCAAGATCCTAGTGCGGTCATTCACATGACCTCACCTTGCAAAAATGGAGAGCCGATGAGATATACCCATCGTGTATTTAGTGACCTGATAGCAATTTCTCGTAGACTGACGGGTGTAGGCATAGCACTAAGATGGCTGAACAAGCACTTTTAGAATGGATCCCCGCATGGCTCTGTAAGAACTCGGAAGGATAGGGACACATAGTTGTCTTTTCGTCGTTTCTGTCTACGTCCCCACTGACTGCATCCCGGATGAAGCGAAAGATGAATTTTACAGAAAGCTCTCTGAACTTCTTCATACAGCTAAACGATCAGATATAGTATTCGTAGCAAGTGACTTTAATCAAATAGAAAGACATTTAGGTGGGTATTATAGTATACCGGTTCAGTGAACAGGTAATGGTGATCGTTTGCTGAAACAATAGTCAGACAATCGTTTATTTCTAGCAAACACAAATTTTAAGCATAAAGAGACATCGTCTAACATGGCGACCCCCTACACCAAACCAACGATGGACTCAAATAGATCATATTGCCATCAGTCATCGTTGGAGAGACTCGCTCATTTTGGAATACGCATTTGCTTGCGCCGCGCTGGACGCAGAAAAACCACATTAAGACCCATTATAGTAGAACTCAGTGACGAGTAGATCCCAGGAACAACTGAGGTCATGCTTAGACAGTTATGAAAACGAGGCTGATCCAGATGTTTCTTGGAAAAATATATAAGTAGCTGTGGAAACTGCAGTGACATCTGTTATTGATTTAAAGTTACGAAAAACCAGTGGATTCTTTCTACAACTATTGCACTGACAGACTCTCTTAAACTTAGCCCATCAGGCTCTGAACATGATAACGAGCAAAAACAAGTCAGATCTAGATTAACCAAAAGTCTAAGCAACGACCGTGAGCAGTAGAGGGCAACGAAAGCAAAAGAGACGAAAAAGGCAGCGACTGTATGTTACACCAGACAGCTTTTCAGACTGATAAAAGAAACTGGAATTAAGAAGTCAAGTGTGAGACGACCTCGGAAACAGACGACACTTAACTGCTCTCAGCCCAGACGTTTAGAACGATGGGAAGAACACTTTAAGGAGCAGTTTAGCTGGCCTTTAGCTACTCTACAACTACCCACCATTTCTAGATAGCCTGAATGGAACATTGAAGTAGGTCCCTCGACTCTAATTGAAGTTCAAAAAGCTATAACTAATCTGAAATGACGAAGAGCAGTTGGTCCCGACGGATTGGCTCCAGAGGTCTTTAAGGATGGTAGTTCAATTTTAGCGATCAGGTTGACTAATATTTTAGCTAAATCTGGGAGTTGGATGTAATCCCATCTGACTGGTCTCAATCACTGATTGTCCCAATATATAAGAAGAGGTCAGAATCATTCTGCCATAACCATAGAGGGATCAGTTAAACTAATTCATCATCTAAAATACTAGCCTCAATAATTATTGTGAGCCAAACAAAGACTCGTGATCTACAAACACGAGGAAATCAGGCTGGCTTCAGACCTGGTCGTGGCTGCATCGACCACATATTTACCATTCGTCAGGTTTTAGAACAACTCCGTCTGGGGTCCCTCCGGGGGCTACTGCCGGTCCCAAGCCCGGATAAAGGAGGAGGGTTGGGTATGAGGTTAGTGTCCCCATCCTGTAGAAAAATAACTTGCTAAAAAACGCTAACCAGAAAAAATTATTCAAACCTTTTAAACTCT